CCCCCCCCCCCCCCCCCCCCCCCCCCCCCCCCCCCCCCCCCCCCCCCCCCCCCCCCCCCCCCCCCCCCCCCCCAAGAAAATAAAACAAAAAGAAAAGAGAAGAGAAGAGAAAGCCAGCCACCTGGGGGCTGTTGCTATGCGCACAGACTGTGAGAAGTTGGATATCGACCATAGGGGCCACCTCCATCACTGGTCCGAGCAGGGCAGGCCGGGTCATAGCCCCCAGAGGTATGATGATACCCCGGCGGCGTAATTTTCATCGGAGGTTTAAAGTAATGGGGAGGAGACTCATGCTGGTGCTGTTCATGAGGCATCATTGAAACCATCGAATCAAACGCCTCGGGATAGCTAGTGCCGGGTTCCTCGCTATTCTTAGACACAGCGTCGTACCCGAAAGGGGGCAAATTGAAACGATACTGACTTTCTGGCTTGCGCTCCATCGCTCCGAACCCGGGGTCGTGATAGGAATCCATGCTGGAAGTGCTTTTGATGGATTCTATCGGGTCCATGGAGTCATTCAAGGCCCCGATGTCAAAGGCCGACGACGAAGACGACGAGATGTGCGGGCTCTCGCTTAGGGACGATCGGTCGGGACCTGTCATTTGATGGTAATCCGCCCGACCGTAGGGTGGGCCACTGCGCGGTGGGTCGTACGACATCATCAAGTGAGACCGTGGGTGATGTCCAATGCCCGGAGGTAGCACGCCGTCGCCCGAGCCACCGCGCCCCCCATTAGGGTCCATGCTCGTCGAGCTGTCGCGACGGCCGTCTTTGTAATGGCCCGGGGAGCGGCCACGCACCACCATTGGATGGGAGAGCCTTCGGGCAATCTTCACCCATTGGGTGTCCTCGCCGCCCACCGGATTCGAGATCTCCGCGTGGAGCTCGACCACCAGGTTGTAGTACTGCTGCTGGGCCCGCCGCTTGCCATTGTTTGCCGTAGCTTTCTGAAACTGGATGCGCTCAAAAGTGTGCTGCGTGGGAGGATGCGCGGGCTGCGGAGCGCTGCTGTACGGGGCGGCGTAGTCGACCGACATTCCACTCGGGGGAGAGGTGGTCAATGAGAATCCATGTTGGCTGCCAATGCCCATGGAACCGTGGCTCAGAACCAATGGCGGCGGCTGGCTGGGTTGCAAAATCACCTTTCCTGGCTTCCGCTCGGACTGCTTATCACGCTTGGGAGTATGTTGGACCAATTCTCGGACCTCGCCATACTGCGCATTCACAATCGCTGATATTGACATGGCAAATGAAAGAATCCGCTCGGTCGAATGATCCGTGAACTTGAGGAAAAGCGGGGCGTGCGTGAAAGGAAGTAGAGAGAACGAGCAGGACACGGAAAAGTAATTGCGTCGGTAACAAGTCCACTTGTCGTCAACCAGGAAGAATCCCTTGTGAATTTTGGCCTGGATTTCCGGCTTGATGGTCTGCGTTCCAGAAACGATCGATTGCAGGACGGCGGTGTCGGAAAATGGAGGAGCATCTGTCGGATGGTGTATCCGGGAATCAAACATCATGCTTTGCCCTAGAAGCAGACTTTGCGGGCGGTCTACCGTCCCATCAAGAGCCCGTGGCGTGGTCGTATATGGCGGAATCCGCGACATGTCGTTCAAACTGGAAAGCGAGGGAAAGGTGCTTCGCTGAAGGGTATAAGTTGCCGGGTAGGTGTCTCTCATGATGCCCGCACCTCCCACCATCCCCGAACCCTGCGATTGTACGGCTGAAGACATCCCCGCAGGCGGTTGACTGGACATACAACCATCGTCAATTGATGCACGCGAAACCATGCGTTGGGAGAAGATTCTGGCTTACAGGGGAGGAACCCGATGGGACCTGAAGTCGGACATTCTGTCATAGGGTAAACCTGGTGAATGGGAGTAAATTGAGCCGGATGCCGGCGAGAAAGTGTCTATATATTTTGAGTTTAGTGCTATGTTAGCGAGATAGACCGAGAACAAAGAAACGAAGGAATACTAACCGGAGCATGAATCGGTGGGACTCATCAGAATGGTAGGAGATGTAGCAAAGCTGAAAGGACCGCTATAGGTCAGCAAGGCTTCCCTGCTAAGTAGATCCACAAGAGGACGAGAGAGCGAGGGAGCGTGAACGGAAAGAAAAGCAGATGATGAGAGAATAAGAAGAGCAGGAGGACAGTATGATTTCCACACAGCACAAGTACAATGCATGTATAGATGGGCCCCGGCAGATGGACGTGGTCAAAAACTTGCAAGGACATATTGAAAGCTCAAATAACATGAGCAGGGAGGCAATAGATAGGTGCATACATGTGGCATGGGTATCAAAAGTAAGAATGAAATAAAAATCCACGGTAAGATAAAAATCAAAAAATCAAAAACCAAAAGGAAAGAAAAACAAAATAGCAACGATAAAATAATAATAATAACAATAAAGGATCATAGCTCAAGACATTTCGGACGCGAAAGGGATGCCGTGTCTAGTGGCTGCAAGCGGGCGAGGTGGAGCACAAAGAGCAGTCTAAATTAAAAGACAACTTACGGCACATCCTGCATCGCAGACTGTTGGGCGTTGTACCTCAAGCCGTTGGTAGCAGGTATCGAGACCGGCTGCGCTAGAGGATGTCCAACGGCGCTACCTCTGCGACTAGTCTCTTCGTCATCCATAGGAAAACCGATCGACCCGGAAAACGGACGCTGCGAGGCAGTATAGTCACTGTCGGTGGTAATGGGTCCATCCATTGGGAAAGAGTTCTGTAGAAGAGTTGCTGGCGCAGGAGGAGAATTAGAGCGAGGACAGGTACCCAATATGCATATTCCACAAGGCGAACAGACAAGGCAAAGGCGAGGGCAAAAATTGAAAAAAGGGAAAAAAAAAAAAAAAAAGGTACAACAAGTGTCGAAATTCCACCAGTCCAGAATAGAATAGGGTCCCTCATCCTTGTCAGCCAAGGATACGGTACCCTTTGATGTCATGCCAATACAGCAGCATAGGTAGAGGAAATAAGAATCGTGTAACAATCGAGGAAGTTTGAGATACCAACGAGATAGGAAAATAAACGTCAGCCCCCCGGATGTAGATCAAATGTCAGAAGCATCGGCATTTGGTCACGGGGGCGGATTGAATCCGCGGCCGCATAGAAGAATAACAGTCGGGCAAGGAGAGAATCGAGATAAAATAAAAGAAAGAAAAAAGGGTAAACAGGGCGAGGGACTCACAATGATTCATTGGCAAGCCCACCGAAACACTTGTCGCTAATCAAATGAGTTCCGATGCCAACTCGTGCCTAGAGATCCGTAGGATCAGCCCAAACAGCGCAAGCGCTAAAGTGACACCCAAAGAACTAGGCTTCGATGGCTGGACAGGGGTGGATCAGGCAAGAAAGAATGCCAACGAAAAAGATCGGGAGCAGTAGTTAGAAACTTCTGCTCATTGGGCTCCGAACCGTGCGGCTTGAAAATAATCGAATGAAAATGAGAAAGAATAATAAAGAAAAGAACAAAAAGATTGTCGCTTCTACTCGGGAACCTTTCTAGGTCAACACTGCCGGGAAAGCCGTATGGGGTTCTAAGCACTGAGTCAGTGCTCGCCTCAGATCATCAAGACGAGTAACTCGATGACAATGCAAAATTTGGAATGTGGCAGGTTGTCGGTGATTTGGAAAATATTTCAATAACATAGACTCGATAGAATCCAACCAGCACAGCTCGAACGGACAGTTGACTCGAAGAGGGAAGACAAACAACTCAAGAGAATGAGGGGAAAAATGGTGGAGTTGAGAGAAGTAGCTGAAAAGGAAGCCAAACAGAAGAGTAGAGAGAAGAGAGAAAAGAAAATAAGGAAGGGGAGCAAAAAGAAAACATGGCACGTTCCACCAGTGAATTGCTGTTCTCCGCGTTACTTGATGACATCGTGGAAATACATAGACAGGACCACTTGCGAGTTGGTGTTTGAACGATGTGTAGAAACCCTTCAATCACAAAAAGTAACGAAGAAGTTGCTGGGATTCAACGGTCACATAATAGAGAGGGTGAATCAATGGAACAAATGAATAAGCAGAACAAAGCCATCCAACGAGTGTCGAGGCATCGAATAATGTCACGACATGAAAAGAGAGAGAGAGAGAGAGAGAGCCAACTCAAATACGTAAAACAAAAAACGAGGATCTGGAAGATGGAGATGGAGAAGGAAAGGGAATGTGAGGCATCTGATGACGGGACTCGAAAAGGAAGACGGTAGGTAAATAAAGAACCAAAACCAAATGCGAACTTACCGATAATAGTTGCGTAATTGAAGAGTCGATAATCAATGGAAGTCAACAACAATTGAGTCGTAACTTGCATTTATTGCCGCACACCTCGAAGCTCCGCAGCAACTCTATATGTATCACCAATTGTCTAGAAGGTCGACTATCTAAACAAAGGCTCGTCTTATTCTCACAAGGGCAAGGTGCGAATAGATTGATTGAACGATGATATTTGGGAACGGATCGTGCTGTTTCATATTATGTTGTCAAATGGCAGGCTGGATGAAGACCACGGCAATGAAAATCCTAGGGCCGATCGAGGAATCTGCCCGATTGATATTTGTTTCCAAATACTGAGTGGAAATGCTTTTGCTCATGTCATGTTGGGTTTTTCTTTTTTTTCCCTTTCCCTTTTTCGTTTCTTTTCTTTTTCCCCCTTCGTCTTTCCTTTTACCCACACCCACACAGCGCCCACTTTCTCCGTTTCTAGCCTGGCCCCTTTGCCTCCAAGGGAATGACCCTGGTAGACGTGCGGCGGAATTATCTGCAGAAATTCGTTGCGCACAAGCCTTAATAGCTTCTCTCAGTTACCAATTTAAGCTTGGAGGCGAATGGCACTTTTGCCACGAGTTTGTTGTGAAATTTGACTTCTGTCAGGGCCCAAGAGAATCTGCTACACTCCGGTGGTTAATTGTGAATAGAAAAAAAAAAGTCATACATTATGTGTGACGGCAGCGTTAAGGGGTCCAAGCCCGAGGGTAGATTTGGGTGTGCCCTCCCTTTTTTTTATTTTTTTTATCCTTCGGTTAACGTCAACTCCAATTTTTGTTTTCTTTTCTCTCGCTTACTTGAAATTTGTTTTGTTCATCAACCTAGAGGAAATGAAGCATGAACCTTCCAGGAGAATATTGTTGCATCAACCGAATTAGCGCAGAAAAGAACTTAGACCCTGTCAAAAACGTTGGAGAGACACGGCATTGGTCGAAATCGATGTTACATTCCTTAAATCCAAGGCCAGGCAGTCTCAGAGCTGCACAAACTCTGAATAGTCCGAGTGGGATGAATTTCAACGTTAGCATGATTCAAACAAGGCGCTAGACCGGCCGAACCGTTCTATACAGAATAATTGCCAGCATAGTCAGCTGTCTTAGCGTGAACACCCGGTCCACGGCAAAGTGCAGCAAAACAAATTAAGATGGCGCTAGAAAATATTAGTTAGCGACGATCGCCGGCCCCGGTAATCCCGTGCAGGCTTCCAGTCCCATGACGGAGGCTGTCCACACTACTGAGCTTGGGAAGCCGCAGGTGGCCAATAACTGTGTCGGCGACGGAAGAACGGTCTATGGTGAGTGCTAGGCAGGGGTTGTGGACCCGTAAGAAGAATCCATGTTCTAGACGTGACGCCTCTTTGGGGCCATTCCAAAGGAATTTCGGGGGCTCGAGGCACGAGCATCGGCTCTTGCATGAGGGAGAGATCAGGCGATCGACGGTTTTGATCCAGCAGCTACCCTTTTTTTTGGCCGTTGTTCGCTCACCGACAACAGAGACGAAAATACATCATGGACAGAGTACCAAATAAGTTAATGCAGCTTGTACAATGTCGGTACACGGACTTGTTGTGGTCGGTAACTTTGAGAACCCCCGGGAATTAACGATCCTGTCTCCCTTCTCTCCACAGAAGTCCCAAGTGTAGGATGGAGGAGTGGATCGGTAAGCAAGAGCGTGTGGAGAAATAGGTTTTTTTTTTTTTTTTTTTTTTTTTTCTTTACACAGCATAATTTCCAGAATCGAGCTTTGAGGCCCACCGATTTGGGAGTGAGACAGCACAAAGAAAGCCGGCCGAATCTTAGATGGCCATCTGCTTGATTTCCCAGCAAGAGAAAAAGAGTGGAACGACCGCTCAAGAATTCTTTTTTTTTTTTGTCTTTAGGAGTGGATCATTTTGTGGCTGAATGATCAGCTAGACTTGCAGGAAGCTAGTTGGTTGAATGCGATATGCACGGTGCTGAAAAGGAGCCCAGGCACCATCATTGGCAGAAGGCCGGAGGGTAGATCCATTCAAGACCTGGCGTCTCCAGGCAGTCAGTATTCAGTACAGAACACTCCGTACGGAGCACAGGCTGGCTATTGGAGGGGCCCCATGTTGTGCAGGGCATATCCGCGGGATGCAGCGCGAATCCCATCGTAACCTTGAACAGGGGTGGTTCAGGGAACGGTGGAGGGAGGTTGCATTTCAGACTAAGGGAAACCAATAAGCGTGATGCTTAGGAAGATTCCAAGGAACAAACCCATAGTGGATGGAGTCAAATAATCTTCATGGAATATTGGATCCCGACAGAATTGAGCGGTAGCCAAGAGAGGATGGACTCTCGGGGCGGTGATGGTAGAGAAGGTGAACGAGAAGACGAGAGATGTTTGTGTACAAAGAGAGAGTAACTAGGTGGGACTGAACTTGGCCACCTCCCCAGAACAGCCAGAAAGACACTGCGCTAAACCTGAACGAGAGCAATCCAGGACGGATGGCACGTGCATCCGTTATAACCTCGAAGCAGACTAGCGGCACGGTCGATAGTGCGTGACCCCGGGCGCCCTAACTCATCCATGTCACGATGTACCTACATCGAATGGATAACTGCCATGATCACAGATCATGGATTAGAATTAGAACTAGCCATTAGTCTACTAGCTAATCAACTACCGGAAGGGTATCAACCTAGTCTATCAGGCTGTCTCGTCAACGAAACCAGTCAACATCCCGGACTACCTAAAGTTTGACTCCTCCCCCTGCTCGCATTCTGTTTTCTACCATGGTCCGTTTAATTAAATGGCTCATATATGCCGGGATCTTGTATTATTATTATTATATAATAGGACAATAATAACCCAAGCCGGAGGGAACTAGCTATTATGGCCATGGTATGTACCTGCCGTATACTCCTAGTCTCTTAGTATTATAAGTAGCGCCCGCCTCCTTTTTGTTCATGATTGATCACCGTTATCAAATATAAGCTTCCTCGTTGGTTACATGTTTCAGAGTGTCCCAACAAAGTTTGACTAGCTTGTTGTCTACCATAGACCCTCGTACGGTACCTACCTACAGTAGTTGTAGCTGGTCCGAGGTGCCTAGCATGTCGGGCACACGACCAAGTCCCTTCTCGCCCCCTTTATTTTTAATTCTTTTTTTCTTTTTTCTTTCTTCTTTGCCTTCCAGTTCCTTGGCCCTACAGGTGGACCTTCACCCCTCCTTCGTTAGGGTGGGCTAGGTTAGGTTAAGGTTCACGCAGTGCTGTGCTGCTCTTTTTCCTCGGAAAATGCGTTGGCTCCCCCTATGATCATAATAATCCTTATTATGATTTCCTCGATCGGGTTAACAGGGCTAACAGCGGCCTAGCTTCAGCTAGGATTCTCCCGATTGCCTCTCTTGACCTCTTGGAGTTAAACGGCTTTTCAATCCAGCCCTCCATCTTTATCTCCTTTCCGTCCCTCTTACGCCGA